TAGAAATACAAGTCTTGTTTATTATTAAACACCCCCCCAATAAGGCTATAAATTCCTTATTTTCATTACAAAAGTTCCTTTTGTGACCATTTATCACAAAAGTATAAACAGTTTACTTATTCCTTGACATTGTTTTTAATCCTGATTTCCTAAGCAAAGGAGACCTTTGCAGTCACAGAGTCTTGTAGGCCCTCTCTAATAACTTTTGAATGTTGTAGTGAATTTCAAGCACATGTAAAAAAGAGAGTCGGATCTCTCAACAATAATTAAGTTCCTACAGTTTGGTGCAAACTGGCAGCTAGCAGATGGCTCTAAAGTTTTAGAGTTGATACACAAACGCTATGTAACAAATTTAAGCCTACTGAGGAAAAGGGGTTGGTTGGTTTGTTTGATCTTTCGCACGTCTTCTAGAATACATGGCACGCTATATATTGAAAATTAGTATTCTACAGTGCACATAAAGCCTGTCTCAAAAGACACACTACGTCACCCAGGTCACCTGGGCTAATGATACCCCAGACACCAATACTGGTCACAAACCACAAAGTTCCTGGCCCTCTTCTTTCCAGGGAAAATTTTGAAATACTAGGATATACCAAAATAAACTTCAGTCAAATCAGGCCTAACGTCGAGAAGCTCAGAGTGTGCAACTTGCAGGCATAGTGAATGAATTATCCACAAGAATTGTCTAAGCTCTACTTAACATTCTATTCATTACTGTCAGGATTATCTTCTTCTCCCAGAAAGCCTGGGAAAAATGAACAATATGACCATTGATAAATTGGCAGTATAAGCAGCCAAGAACCAAAACATGACCCCAACCCTCAAGCTGAACTTTCACAGACCAATGATAATTTTGGTCACCTCACCTAAACTGAGGAAAGTGTAGAAAGATGGAGAAATTTGTCTGCAGATGTTTACAAGTAATTCCTCTCAACCACAAGAAAAATATATAACTGTTTCTTTAAACAGTAAGAGTTGATAGAAGATTATGATGTTTCTTAAAGAGCACAGTGTCAAGATGACAATTGGAAAGGTGACATGTTTTGTGTTAGGAGTCTGCTGAAAGCATTTCATACCCTTTCCAAACTTTAAGACAGAAAGTCACATTTCAAAGCAACACTTTTAACAATCGTATATCCAGGTCAGCTGGCCTGACTCTTACAGCAAAAGAAATCTGTAAAAAGAGGACCTGCAATACACGCATTTCCTTCACAGTCATCAACCCAAAAGATACAAAGCAAAAATTCTGCTAGCTTCACCAATAAGCTGTCTTTTAATAAAAATTTATCATAGTCCCCCCCACCATTATCTACAATGCTCTCTTTAATCAAGTGACAACGAAGAAATAGGGTAACCTTGCTAACCCTCATCCAACCTTTGTCATTCCAACTCCCCTTCTCTCCCTTGCACAGCAACTCTTCCTTTTCCCCTGCCTTTCCCCTTTTCCCCCACTCCCTGCATTTCTTTCTGTTCTGACAATGCACTACACGCGAGCAGACAGAAGCATGTATGCTAACAAATAAGATATATGCATCCAGATATCACAACATTCTCACACCTGCTCTGATGGCTCCCAATCGCCTTCTTTGTTGTTCCCTGCCGGAAGCCATCTGAGGTGACATCCAGAGGTTGCTCAGGGACTGCACTCCAACTGATAGCTGTAGAAGAAAGGATTATGAACAAGGGAGGTGCTCTCATCACAAAAGCATAATTTAACAGTTCCTTTCATTCTGTGTGTTCACATGATACCGTGCTGCTTCCCAAAATAATTCAAACTAGAAAGAGGACCATGGTTCTCTAGGGCCAGGATTCCAGTACCTAAAAGAACACATAAATTCTGTTTAATAAAACATATATATACACACACATACACACACACAGAGCTTTCATCTTAATCAGGTCCTTCAAGAATCCATGCCTCCAAGTATTTGGCCTCCAACTTCGTAATTCTCCCCTTTTTGGGGGGATTCTACTTTTGTGCATCCTGCCTGGACAAAGCATGAAGAAATTTCCAAGTGAAACGGCTTATTTTCATATCAGGCTGTGAAATACTCCCTCAAGCTACTTGCATCCGTCACTCTATGTTTTCCATATTAATTTATTGTACACTATTATCTTATCACTTATTGTATACTCTAGATAGTTCTATGTTTGATAACTCATATACATCAAATATCTGTAGACTTTACTTGAAAAATATTAGCCAGTAGTCAAATAAAAATAATTTGTTGGAAGAGATAGCAAGTGCCAACAACCTCATCCTTTACCCCCATTCTGGTCACCTTATTACCATCTTAGGCTGTAAACTTCTTAATGCTGAAACTCTGCATGCCATACCTTACAGATTTATAAATAACTAGCAAAGCATCAGTAGCGTGGTAACAGAAGCAAAACTGATTGACATGCCCAATCTGTGCCTCCATACCCTAGCAGCTCCTTGAACTTCTACTGCCTTGAGACAATTTTTGTTCCCTAAGTTCTCCCATTTCTCTGTGTTCCTAACAGGCAAAACAGTTCCACATGCATTAACTCTACAGACAATTTTCACAGCTTCTCTCCTTCATGACAACATCTTGCCATTCAAGATGCTCAAAAGCTACACGTTATAAAGCATATTACGGAGACCGGTTACGTTAATCACACTCGTATTATGATTCAACTGTATGCTGCAACTGCCATACTCTGCTAAGCGTAAATTGTACTGGCACTGTGATTTAGGTACGATGCTGTATCACTCTACTAAATTAAAATCCTGTGTAATGTCAAATAACATTAAATACATACAACTGGTATTAAACATTAAACTCTCCAGGCGTGGAGTATCTAAAACCACCTGGTCAGAAGAGATCAGATTCTGACAAGCAGATAAAAATTTACTTAAAAATGAAAACATTTTCTATTATTTCATTTCTTCATAGTTATTGCAAATGTCAAAATATTAAATGGAACACATTTTTCTTTTTAAAAATACCAGCTGAAATGTTCCTATCAAGCATATTTCAATACTCAGTGTAACAGCCCTGAATTTAAAAGTTTATTCTGATTTTCACCCCTTGAAGAAAAAAATCAACCCGGCATAATTCATATATGCAAAAAAGTGTGATCAAGTATCATTCATCTTTATTTAACAGAATGACCTGAGTAACTGTACAGAAAGGCAAGCATACACAGGAATTTAGTCACAGTTGGCTTCAGATCTTTTTTGCTAAGTGAACTGGCACCATTTTTCAATGATGGATTTTGTTTCCTATCTCACAGAATCAAAATCTTTTCCTGCCTGTAAATAACAGGCACCTGTAAATAACTCCAATTTAATGAATCTGAATTCCATTAAGGAACCCTTTGTTTCCATTCTGTTTTATCATCAGCTCTATTGTAACAGAATAACTTCCAGTTCCAGTTAAGCCAGAAAAGTATACAACAGCAGAAGGTAGGCATGTCCAAGTTTAAACAAACTGCTTAAGCACACACATACAGTGGCAGTTCCATTCGGTTTTTCCCCAAATGAGACCATGCTGCTAAATCACAACGTGACTTGCATATTCATTCATCACCATGACAAAAAATGCAATGTCCAAAACCTCTATCAATTAAACCTTCACACTATACTACTCTGTATTCTTTCTACGTTCACAGATTTCTGAAGCAATTACAAGCATAACTCAGCATGGCAAGTCTTCTGTTCATTACCAAGGAGAATGCAAAACCAACTGAAACAACAAGTCTCTTGATATTTTTGTTTTCTTAGCACCCTCAGAACTTCTGCTTTCGCTGGATTTTTCCTGTCTTTGGTTAGATTATAAATTCTTAATGGCATCAACCAAGTGTTTACTCAGTCTGAAAACTCCCTACAGGGAACTAAAGGCTGAGATGAATATTATTAATTATTAACAATTAAGTTCTGCCCTGAAATTAATTTATTGCTATAAGTCGCACTTTGCCTCTAGCACTGGCAATGAATGACATTCCATTTTAGGAAACCACCAAACCCACCTAATTTCTATTTGGACTTCTGCACACAGTTATGCAACTAGCCCAAGTCAACTCACCTGCACTACAAGGAACAAGTTTTGTTTTGCCATTAGTTTGAACTTCCTGAATTGCCTGCCGGCTATGTTCAAATCGAAGATCCGATTGCAGCAGCTTAACCTCCTGAGGGAGAAAGCCATCTGGTAAAAATGAGATGTGCTGACACCTAAAGTAAACACAGGAAACTGCAAGTGATTTTAAGTCTTGTCTTCCCAAACAAGCTGATTCTGTGCAATTTCCCTTCATAATCTAAAACACGTTACTTTTACATTAAAATGGAATTGAACATGAGTTATAGAAGAGAGACAGGGAGGTTTGGGGGCATTTTTCCCTTCAAAAGAGTATTTCTTAAAAAAATAAAGCCACATAGTTTATTAAGACCTTGTCCATCCTAGAAAAACTATAATGAATTGATTTTAAAAAACATCTAGTCAAAAGCTAGTATAATTGAAGGAGATAAAGTATGCCAGATAAAAACTGCAATATACTTCTGCAATCACAATGAAAAATAACAATCATAAAATATTTACATAGTCAAGCATATTACATTAAACAACTGTTTTATGAAAAGCCAGAGGTTCCTGATCGAAGACTAGAAAGATAAAAAATACACTGTAATCTCATTTTTACCTTAAATTACCATTACACACTGAATGGGATTTAGGATCATATGAGGAGGGAAAAACGGCGTGTGTTTAATCATCATAATATTTACACAGAGCAGGTATGAATTAAGACTGAGGTTCATATTGTCAGATGTAATAGTCTGAAAAAGTGCCTGACTTTGCAACCTCAGATTCACGAGGCTGGGCAAATTCTTGTCCCACGTGTTACAGAGTGAGGAAAGGATTATCCAGTAAGCTCCACTGGATAGGTAGCTAGAGTTTCCCCTATTAATATACTGTGACCTCTTTCATAACCACCCTAGAAGGATGCAAGGCTACGGACAAAAGGAGTTACTAAACGAAGTCAAACCTTTCAGATGAACTGGTCTAGTAAGTGCCTCTTAAAGGGAGTGGTTTAGCTCCCTGGTTTCTTTCTTGCTCTCCTTTCCTTCCATTCTGCCCAGTTCCATTTACTCTCCTCTAATGCTTGCAGATTCCTTTGCACTGATTCAACCTCTTAGGCACGAAAAATATCCACCTCCTATCCCTTTGTTGCTGGGACAGTTTTCATCAACTCAAGGATCTGAGGATCAAGAAAGCCAGTGCACAGCAGACGACTTTCCTCATTTAGCAGCACTGCACTTCACCTCCCACATAAATTCCCCTGAGGTGACATGTTGTGTTATCAGAGCTCTACTACTCACAGTAGGGAGAAAAACGAAATCTTGGATGTAATTCAGGTCAAAGGAGCAGACAAATTTTTATCACCATGGAAATGCAGATAAGCTTTGCCTGTCCAGTCTAACACAACTCTTACATCGTTTTCCAGCTGACCAGTACAAGCTGTCATATGCTAGGTGTCCTGAAGCACTTCAGTAAATCACAGAACGTTTGAGGTGGGAAGGGCCCTCCGGAGGTCACTGGTCCAACCCCTCCCTGCTCAAGCAGGGCCACCTACAGCCAGCACCCAGGACCACGGCCAGATGGCTTCTGAATACCTCCAAGGGGGGAGACTCCACAGCCTCCCTGGGCAACCTCTGCCAGTGCTCCGTCACCTGCACAGGAAAAAAGTGTTTCTCGATGTTCAGAGGGAACCCCCTGTGTTTCCATTTGTGCCCGTCGCCTCTTGTCCTCTCCCTGGGCACCCCTGAAAACAGCCTGGCTCCATCTTCTTTGCACCCTCCCCTCAGGTATTTATACACATTGATAAGATCCCCCTGAGCCTTCCCTTCTCCAGGCTGAACAGTCCCAGCTCTCCCAGCCTCTCCTCGTAGGGGAGATGCTCCAATCCCTTAAACATCTTTGAGGCCCTTTCTTGGACTCTCTCCAGTATGTCCATGTCTCTTTCTTGTACTAAGGAGCCCAGAACTGGACACACCACACCAGGTGCGGCCTCACCGGTGCCAGTAGAGGCGAAGGATCTCCTCCCTCGACCTGCTGGCAATGCTTTTGCCTGATGCAGCCCAGGATACCATTAGCCTTCTTTGCTGCCAGGGCACGCTGCTGGCTCATGTTCAACTTGGGGTCCACACTGCAGTAATTGGTGCCTGGGGCTGCTCCTCCACAAGATGCAGGACTTTACACTTCCCCTTGTTGAACTTCATGAGGTTCCTACCTTTCTTCAGCCTGTCGAGGTCCCTCTGGATGGCAGCACAATCCCCTGGCACATCAGCCACTCCTCCCAGCTTTGAGTCATCAGCAGACCTTCTGGGGATACACTCTGCGCCATCATTTGGGCCATTAATGAAGATGTTAAACAGGACTGGACCTAGTATTGACCCCTGGGGTACACGGCTAGTTACACCTCCAACTACACTTTGTCCAATGATCACTACCTTCTGGGCTCAGCCATTCAGCTAGTTTTTAATCCACCTCACTGTCTGCTCATCCAGCCTATACTTAAAACAGACTCTCTGAGGACGTCACAAGAGGCAGTGCCAAAAGCCTTACTGAAGCCTAGGCAGACAATAACTACTGCTCTCCCCTCATCTACCAGGCCAGTCACTTCATCATGGAAGTTTTTCAAGTTGGTCAAGCATGACTTCCTCCTGGTAAATCCATGCTGACTACTTCTGATGATTTTCTTATCTTTCATGTGCCTGGAAATAGTTTCCAGGATTAGCTGCTCCATCTCCTTCCCAGGGATTGAGGTGAGGCCAATGAGCCTGTAGTTCCCTGGGTCCTCCTTCTTGCCCTTCTTGAAGAATGGAGTGACATATGCTTTCCTCCAGTCCTTGGGAACTCTTCGCAACCGCCATAATTGAGCAAAGAATAACAGGAGTGGCCTCGCAATGACATCTGCCAGCTCCCTCAGCTCTCCTGGGTGCATCCCATCAGGGCCCAGGGATTTATACATGCCTAGTGTTAAGTATTCCCTGACCTGAACCTCTTCCACCAAGGGTATGTGCTCCTTGCTCCAGACCTTCCCCCTGGTCTCTAGGACCTGGGATTCCTGAAGGCTGGTCTTGCTAGTAAAGACTGAGGCAAAGAAAGCATTCAGTACCTCAGCCTTTTCCACATCCTGTGTAACCAGGTCCCCCATCTCATTCAGCAGTGAGCTTGCATTTTCCCTAGCCTTCCTTTTGTCACCTACGTACTTAGAGAAGCCCTTCTGGTCTTTGACATCCCTTGTCAGATTAAATTCCAGTTCAGCTTTAGCTTTCCCAACCTCATCCCTGCATACAGAGACACTGTCTCTATATTCCTCCTAGCTGCTCTTGCTTCCACCCTCCATATGCTTTTCATATTTGAGTTTGTCCAGGAGCCCCTTGTTCATCCATGCAGGCCTCCTGACATTTTTGCCTGACTTCCTGTTTGTCAGGATGGACCACTCTTGAGCCTGGAGGAGGTGATCCTTGAATATTAACCAGGGCCCCTCCTGCCTCCAGGGCCTTATCCCATAAGACTCTTCCAAGCATATCTTTGAAGGGGTCGAAGTCCACTCTCCTCAAGTCCATGGTTGTGAGCTTGCTTTTTACACTCCTCCCTCCCCTCAGAATCCTGAACTCCACCATCTCATGGTCACTGCAACTAAGGCCTCCTTCAACCTTCACATCCCCAGTGAGCACCTCATTGCTGGCAAGTATGAGGTCCAGCAGAGTACCTCTCCTCGTTGGCTCCTCTATTTGCCATTTCAATCATTCCTAAAGGTGCGTCAGGTTCAAAAATTCCACTTCTTTTTATATTGCAGAGCAGGTGGATGAGAAACAAGTATGCCAGAGCTGCAGAGCCACAAACCTCATCCTTTACAGAAGCTGAAGGCCCAGAGTCTCATAGTAGAATTCTGAAGTGCATCCCTCAGAATGCATGAAGACTACAAAAGGTGAATTTGCACTGCACATCCAAATCAGTGTGAATGTAAGTGGTGGAATAGACTAATGAGAGATAATTAGCTCGCATGCAAGTGTGAAGTGTCCCAGAAGCACAAAGTTTTGCTCGAAAAGCAACAAACTGACAATTAGCACTAATAGAAACAAGTGCTGACATGAAATCATGACTTTCCAACCTGGTTGCCAAACAGCACTCATCTTTCTAAACCTACATGTACTCTACCACTCCACAGCAATTTCTACATTAGATCTACAACTCAGTTTCCATGGGCTGCACGGCACACCCGAAGGCACGCGATACAGTCAAAACTTCAGAATAGCGGTTTTCAAAAACCTCTACTGAGAACAGACTGACAGTATGATTTTGAAATTTACATGGGATGGCCATGCAGGCATATGCAGTAACCCACATATTAACCTCCTGGATCCACTTTGAGAAGACAGCAAAAAGTAAACTGTTTGCACTATAATTCCCTTCAAAGCAAGTCTAAAATACTGCATCTTTTACTTCCTGGAAAGTAAGTCTGAAAGCAGGGTGTAAAATCAGCAAAAGCTTCAGGAGAACCAAGACGTTCATTTAAGGCTAAGTTATGAAAAGGTTTGTAAGGACAACCAGAAAGACATCCTTCCCACAGTGCAAAAGTCTGCCTACGCATTCATTTGGAGTCATTCCAGTCAGATTGCCTTTAGGATGGACGGATTTGGGGGCTTTTTAATTTAATTTTAGGAATGGTCCTGCAAGAAATAGAAGCTGCTTTTGCTCACCAACACAATTCTGTAAAAGGGAACTTACAGATATTCAGAATGACTTTGTGGAGTATGGATAACTGAATAAATTAAAACTTTTCTTGACCCTGCTTGAGGAAATAAATTCAGGAAGAGGGCAAGAAAAGTTCAACTTCACTACGCTAAAAAACTTCACTATGCTGAGTTTGTGTCCTTCCAGCTGCTTTTTCTCCTGGAAGGCTTCTAGAAAAACTCGGGCGGGTAACAGCTTCTCACTGCTTCATGAAGGGACAACCAAGGGGATCCTGAATCTAATGGAAATTCTTTTGTGAATCTTCAAGTCTGATCCATCAGCAGTAGTCACCTTTTCTCCATACTACACAGGGCCACTTTCTGAAAATGTGCATTGGCAGAAATTCACATTCTCTGAAAATGACTTTGGTGCCAAGTCCTGATATTTGCGTGACACGTGCTGTCTTCCATAACTCATTGTCTCCATACACACTATCCGATTTCCAAAGGACAGCACTTACCTTTCAATAATTGCTCTCCGCATAGCTTCTTGGCTATATGGACACTTCCCCACTATAATTGCTGACAGGTACAATGGATACTGCAGGAAATGCATCAGAAGAGCTCCTTGACACCCTAACACATTCCAGCGAGCGAGTTTATCACTGCAGGACATAGAGCATGTTCTGTCCCCGCGACCCGGCTTCACTCGTAATAATCCCACACAGTGATACTCTAGCCCAGGTGTTCGGGCATCACCCAGCTCTCCAGGTACGCATTTTGCTCCAGTTCTATAAACATCTACTATCTTTGGTCTCCCTAAGCCAGTCTCCTTATTAGCTGTTTGCTTCTCTGCAGAACATTCACAGCTCTTTGGATTTGTGTCGTCTTTTCGTTTCACAGGTACTTCCTGAACAGCCAGGTCTTCAGTGATTATGGCAAAACAACCATCGTCATCAGTTTTCATTCTCTTGGTTATATGATTACTTGCCATTTTCTCTGATGTCCTTTTATCTTCTGAACCCAAATGATCATGGTTACTTCTACACTCTGCTGATTGTCCAGCTGCACCATCTCCAGTCCCTGGCTTAGGAAGCTGGTCCTCTGGTTCGGTAATTGGAATAATAGAAGCATCTCCACCTGGAACAAAAGAAGTAACATCAAAATTGGCCAAAACCGCATCTCTCATGACTGGAACACCTCACGCCAGTAATATTACAGCTACTACTAACTTTTACAGATTTGCACTCAGGAAAATTTAACTGTGAGAACACGCTTTTCAAACAACATTGCCCTGTACAATGATGAACCAGACTTCGCTGGAATTTGAGCCAGTATGTTTAATTTCAAGTTCTGCATTCTACCTAAGAAATAATCAAGAAAGCAAAATTTAAAACAACAATTATAAAGCAAAAGGTCTCAAAGGCATTTGACAGACTACAAGCAGTGCCGAAGACTCACAGGAAAACTAGTCTGATCTAACTGAACAATACAAACCTCAAAAGAATAATTAAAGAATAACCTACCAAATAAGGATGGAAGTTTCAATCTGTATCGCTAAAACAAGCTCAAACCCAAAATTCTGAATCTCAGTTCAAAGCAAACAAAGTCTGACAGGCAGGTGAGAAAAAGGCAGTCAGGAAATTATTCTTGCTATTAAATTTGAAGCTGTAGATTCTATTCTCATATTGCATTAACGAAGAAAACCATCATAGCATATTCCAGCAATGCCATCAAAATCATGAAAATGTCTGAGCAACCAATTCACTATGTGCAGCACTGATGAGGCATATTTTGAGAGCACTTAGACTTCTTTGCTCTGGTAACAGACTACCAGTTGAAGAACACACTGGTAAGAGCGTGGTAACATCGAGACATTCGATAAGCTGGTAGACCAAGAGGTCGCCTTCCTACGTTTTGCAAATAGATCCTCATCTTTGTGCTGCTGCTTTTTTAAAAAACACACAAAAAGCGTTTTCCATGACAAAACAAAAAGTTACGTTCCATTCCATAAGAAGTTTTGGGTTGCGGGGTGGTGGTGTTTTGTGGGCGGGGTTCTTTTGGTTGTTTTTTGGGAGTTCGGTTTTGTTGGTTTTTTGTGGGTTCTTTTTTTCCTGTTTTGTTTTGGTGCTTTGGACTTTTGTTTGGTTTGGGGTTTTTTTGTTGTTTTTGTTTGTTTGGTGGTTTGCTTTTTGTTTGTTTGGGTTTTTTTGGTTTGGTTTGGTTTTTTTAGGAACTGTGGTAAATGTCAATGTTTGTTATTACAATTTGAATCCAAGGAAACGACATTTAAAGCAAAGCAACCAGGAGACATGACAAGACCTGGGACAAGTATGTTAGTTTTTGCAGAAGAAAATAGTAGCCATTATTGTTTAAAGAGAAAGTGAAGCATTCCACTATATAATGAGCAGTATATTGGAATTACGGAGTTCTTGTGAATCACATCCAGTGAGATAAAACGCCAAATGTGTCTGCGGAGGATCAGTCAAGTAGATCTTAGGGCACATACTGACAACATGAGTTACTGCCTCACTCTCACTCCAGACCAAATAGAGACCAAAGAAGGGCAAGGGGCAGAAAAGATTCTATAAGTGGGAGCCATGAAATTGGTTCACTCCAGCATACTCACATGGGGTATGACTGGAGAAGAAAACAAATATGATATTTGGTTTGAGTTTCCATTTCCCGGTTTCAGTTCCCGGAATAAAGATACTGCATTGCTGATGGGAAGCTGCCAGCCACATCTGATGGAGAAGATACCTGTTAGGCAGAAAGTTTTCATGAAACATTTGTTTCATTTTTGATGCATGGGAAAACAACAAAAATTAGATGCCCGCTAGTGCCTGTTCTTTCCTGATGAAGTCTATGAGGAGCCAAGCAGTTATGTTTCTACACATAGATGGGATCTGACACACTCCATAAACACAAGCGCATCACTGGAACCTTAATAACAGACCTCAAAGGGTTGCATTCTGTGGAGTTAACTATCTCCTCAAATTGCATATCTAAGGTCCCCTCCTCCCACTCTCTATTTTTACCAGCACTGCAACTCATCGAATTCTGTGAGAGCCAGTTTAGTGGCATCAAACTGCAAGAAATGTACTCATTTCTGTAGCATTACTGCTGGCTCAGTTCCTTGAACCAGCTTATCTCATGTGAACAAGAGGGCTGGTATGTGGGAAACGGCAAAAAGGCTACCCTTGACAGCTAGTCATCAGACCAGCACTGATGTCACATGAAATCAGATCCTACTTCTTCACACAGAGGCTCTACAAGGATGAGGAAGAAACAAGCTTTTGTGAAAGGGCCTTAACACCACCCAGAAGTGTAAAAATTAGGTTAAACTCCTGCTAACAAAGGGGAAAAAAGTGTTGCCTACACAGAAGTAATACTGTCTCTTTTATGATATTCTCATCCCTAAAGCTGCAAAATCTGGCTATTTCAGCTATAGGTCAAAACCATTTGTATCACAACAAACAACCTCAAGTGGCACTGAATAACAGCACGTGAACTTCACGCCTCACCTCTGGAAGCTTCTCTTGGCCACAATTTCAGCATGACTGTCATTCAGAATGTCTCCTAAAGCAACAACCAAATGAGAATACGCATCGTTACTGAAAAGGAGATGAACAAAACAACCAGAATTTGACAGCTGACAGTTCTCCAGATTTGTTAGCATTTGAAGGTTTAACATTGGTATTAGGTTATTCCAAGATATTTAAACTTCCAGTCACTACAAAAGGAGGTCAATAGCCTACACGAATGAAGGATAAAAGTCTTCACTCCGCAGCAAGTCAGAGACTTGTTTAAAAACCAAATTTTAACTCTTCTGATATCTGAAATCCTTTGAGTTGAATAAACACTGGCTTCCTTCAAAACCTCCCTGATGTTTGTTCTTAAAAGTAAATCTTGTTATTCTCAGATTAAGCATAACATCCAGAAAATTTCAAGTGTTTGTTAAGCTTTTGGTTGAAGCGTCCTACTATGTCCTACAATTTAAATTACTTTTCTTGTAAGTAATTCTGATATTTACCAGGTTTACACATCTTATCTTCAAACTTCCTGCAGTGCCTGCCTAATGCAGTTTCTAAAGGAACAGGATCTGTAGATCAGCTTTTATTTCAGGAATGAAAGGCCAGGTGATAAAAGTCCTCTTTAACAGTTCTAAAAGTTTAAAGGTTCTCTAACAGATAATCATTAACATGACCTACCAACCAAGTTAATTTAAAAATAAATGAACGTTATCATAAGAGGAAAATGTTCTCTAAACTTAAGATTACTCAAGACAAACAACAGAGAGAGGAACTAGCTTTCCTTTTTTCCAGTCAGATTTCTACTTTGACTCTTAACATCTACATTGTTAGTAGTACAACAGTTTAATCACAATTTTCCTAAATCAATCAGAAAAATGTCTGTACTAATACTCTTCTAAGATGGCTAAGTCACAAGAAACATCCACAGAAATCTAAGATACAGAATTTAGTTTCTTCTCTTTTTCTCCACTAATTCATTTCGATATGAAGGACGTTATACAGAACGCGAAACAGCCTAAAATCAATGCATGCAAAACCGTTTCTCCTATCCAGCTCTACTCCTCCTCTGAAGTCTAAAGAAGGTAGAAAGCCCTGTAGCTACATATTCACAAACACTTTTCCTCCTTAGTCACTTTTCAGCATTAATTACTATGGCTTCTCCCCTCTCCTAGGAGAGGAGACAGATACATTCTGAATAAAAAAAATGGACATGCAGAGCAAGGAAAGTCCTACGATAAATGGTAAGAAATGGTAGCTGTGGGAAGTCACGTACCTATCCCATGCATTTATTGTACAAACACTCAAAACTATCTAGCTACAGAATATACAGTAAGGGAGAAAAAGCCTGTTAGTACCTTTCTAGAGTCACCCCTGCCCTAACTCAGCAGTGGTATCTTTTGCATCAGACCACAAAAAAACTAGACTGTAACAGGCGACTGAAGCACAATTCTTTTGCTTATGTTTTGTTTTGCTTTCAGTTATGAAGTCTCTGGGTATGCAGACTCAGGGCCTAAACTACACACTTCCACACATAAAAAGTTTATTCACCTTTAAGGCAGCACGTGCAGCAAAGTTTCAGGGCAGCCATTCTAGCTGCCTAAGCCCCTCTCTTCTTGACGAGGTGAAGTCTGCCTTATACTTCTGGTTTCAACCCAGAAGTCTGAGCTCAATTCCTTGGACATTTTCATTGATTCTATGACATCAGCAAGAAAGAAGGTACCATAGGTAGTCTGTTCTTGGATTTTACAACACACTTACCAGTTTTTCTCATTTTGTTTTGGCCAATACATTTTGTTCCAGTTCCCATAGCAACAACTTCCTTCGTTACTGAAAAAAGAAACAACATTAACTGAACGAACTATGGCCAGAAGCATTGTTCTCGTACAGTCATTCCAGTAAGACAACACGGACAACGCTGTGTAGAAGGGAAGGTACAGGGAGGCAGGCCAGGTGACATTCCAGAAAGGAAACAGTATCAGCTGGAGAACTGAACAGAGCAGGCAGGCAGAAGCACCAGTGCCAGAAAAAGTCTATGATCCCATGGCAGGAGTGCTAACACAGGCTTGATATACTAGGCAACACAGAGTGGACGCTGGCATAGGATTCCTCAAACACATAAGAGAGAAGCATGGGATACAGTCTGCGTGACAACATGGAAGTGCCAGTAAGGGAAAAGAAGATGATGGTGAACTAACACAAACACGCAATGTAATAAGGCAGTCTGTTAAAGGAGAGCAAACTGAGACCTTTCTAGGTTCTTTCAAACAGCAGCCGAACACGCTTTTGCAAGGGTTTACATTAGGAATTCAGGTCCTGCCTAGACTTTTGCCGCTTAGCGAACAGCCAAACGCAGGCTTTCATCATCTTAGTTACAGTCTGGGAAGAACAGCATTTCACTACAACCATGTCTTTCTAGACAGAAGCTATAAAAGCTTTTACAATGACAAAGAGTGAAGAATTTGGGTGGAGACAGAAATGGGGCAGGAAGGGGTGTATGTTTTTTTTTAAAGGTATCTTGGGAGGAAAAAAACCAAACAAAACCAAAAAAAGCAGAGCATCAAGGACTGCCACCTCCTCTCCCCCTTGCCCCCCTGCCCCAATCCCCACAACTCATTCTTACCCTGCAGATTCCCTGGACTAGCAAGAACCTCTCTTTGGGCTGCAGACTCCACTTTGACAACAGCTGCCAGTGAAGTCCATTCCCTGTTTGGATCTGGCTTCCCCTGCTTAGGGAGTCTGGTCCTATAATGCAGGTAACACAGCTCAGCAATGTCGTCAGCTGACCACATGGCTCCTGGTGCAAGTGCAGGTTCTGAACAGACTTGCGTCCCGTCACACCACCAATTAACAACCCCCACGTCTTCAAACCCTACTGCCTTCTTCTGTGCGACACCTTCCTGGACCAGATTCCGATATCCAAGGCCTAAGTGCATCACCCCTTTCAGGATTATGTATAAGAAATATATCACGTGAAATAAAAAACTTTTCTTCCAAATCGCTAGGAATAAAAAGCGATGCTAGCACCCTGCTAGTGCAGCAGCAGGGGAGACTGCTGGGTTCCCAAGGCTCCCGCCACGCAGCGGCCAGCAGCGCTCCTCACACCGCCGTCCCCGCATCACATCTGAGGCGCCGGGCGCCACCGCACCCGGAGCGGGGCCTC